TATATATATATATATATATATATATATATATATATATATATATATATATATATATATATATATATATATACAAGAAATGTTTTTTTATAATACTTATTTTACTTTTATATTTAACTGAAATATATCCATGAATCGAATGGTAATCAAATAATTCTGATAACTAAAACAAATTATTATTCCTTTAAAGTATTTGATATTTAAAATTACGAGGAAATCTTAACTTCTGGTTGCGGAAAGTATTGAAATTTGTGAACTCGTTTTAATCGAAATGTAAATTTACATATGATATAGTGTAGATAGTACTGTAAATTTATTGCGGTGAATAATAACATAATATTTTAGGTAATTAAATTTAAATTAACGAATTTAACCACTTCTTAAGTTGTTAAATTGTACAGTTATCTAATATGCAATTAACATTTTGTAGTGATATTTAATAGCATATTCATCCATTATTCAACGTATTCAATGATATTTGTTGTAATTAAATTAAATTTTATTTGCAGATTTCAATTGGAGAAATTTATCAGCAATAAGACAATGTTTGTTACCTGAAATTAATGAATCATGCAGGTTTGTTAGCAGTTCTATTAAATTTAACATTATCGATTTGATAATTTATATTTACTCAATTCTATCAATTTTAGATCAACAGTAGAACGATATTATTATGATAAATCACTTGATAAATGTTTGCCGTTTTTTTATGGTAATTGTATTGGAAATGGAAATGGTTTTGATAATATGAATGATTGCATTGGTAATTGTACTATGCCTTTGAACTTTAAGGTATTTTTTTTGCTAAAACTTGCTAATTTTTTTCTTTAAATTTATAAATTTATAAATTAAAATTACTTCGTGAAAATTGTAAAAGCGTAAAAATTTACAAATTTTTAGCCATAAAAAAATAATGGATATTAATTAGTGTTAGTGAATATTGAATAGTGTTAATGAATATTAATTAATATCATTCGAAAACATACCGTAGTTGCAACTTTTTCTTTTTTTTTCGCAAATTATCAGATAATTATTTAAAAATGGAATAATCGCTGCTAAACTATCATGCAATTATATATGATTAGCTATATAACAAAAGAGAATAATGATAATGATATCATATAATACAGAATAAATTGATAATAAGTACAGAGATCAGAGATCAGGGTTAGCAAAAATAAACCGGTAGAAATCGGTAAAATTTAATTGAAAAATACGGAAAATATATGAAATGTTTCGGGTAGCAAAATTATAATTTAAAAAAAGAATTGTAATATATTAACAGGATCTCGAACCGAATGCTATATCATTTAATGGACGTATTAATCGTTTCCAGAAAAATATCCGGCATAATGTTTACGCTGCACGGAATTTTCACGTGGATGATGGAAATTATCTGGTATTCCGTTTACGTAAAATTATTTTTATTTATTCATACAATATATTTATGTGATGGTGACGCATTTTTCATCTTATAGAGTGGTAATTTTGAGAAAATTTCAATATCAGAAGCAAGCAACGATATCTCAATGACTACTATGACTACGGTAACGACAGTAACGAAATCTGATACTTTTACTAGTACAATAGCATCTAAATTGGATGATATATCTAGCAAGGAGAATGATAATGATGATGATAATGAAGGACGAATGATAATGGTTGATACTATTCAAAGACTCAAATTTCAATCCATCTCTTTACCAGGTGCTTTAATTTTTATATAATGATTTTTTTTGTTTCATTAAATAAAGAATTAATTAGTGTTAATTAATATTTAAAAATTACAGAGCTATGCTTATTACCACAAGATGTGGGACCTTGTTTTGGTGAAATATTAAGATGGCGATATAATTCCGAAACAAATCATTGTGAAACATTTATCTATACTGGTTGTGGACATAATGCTAATTACTTTACTTCGGAAGAAGCTTGTTTAAGAGCTTGTGGAGAATATAGAAATAGTGGTATTTAATTACTTAAATATCTGAATAAAGCAGTAAAATTAGCAAGTTATCCTCAAAAATTTTCATCACTTTTCTTTAAATGATATCATTTTTTAACTTTTACTTAAAATGTTTTTACTTTAATAAAATAAAAACAGCTAAATTAGGTATTTGTTCGATTCTAAAATTATGTAAAATCTCAGTTTAATTCTAAAAAAGGAAAAAAATGAGATTTAAAAATGATAAGATGAATTCTTTAGATGTATGTACAATGAAAATGGACCGTGGTCATTGTGAATTAGGTATTACAAAATGGTATTACAATATGGATGCTGGCGAATGTCATATATTCATTTATACTGGTTGTGGTGGTAATGGTAATCGATTTTCATCAAAAGCTGAATGTGAACATCTTTGTACCTCAGAGATACTATTTTATGCTGATAATGATGGTTCGTTTAAATAATTATTGTATAATCGAATCATTTCATACCAAATATATAATATATTTGACCTATGACATTTTATTTTAATTATTATTTCAGAGAAAGATATTTGTTTATTAGATCGTGAAAGTGGTCCATGTGATGATCCAGTAACACAATGGTACTATGATGCAACCATTTCACAATGCATGCAATTTACATATGGTGGTTGTCGTGGTAACGGTAATCGATTTAATAGTCGAAAACTATGTGAACAAAGATGTTTACAGGAAAAAGAAATGAAAGGAACAATTGATCGAACGGAAGGTAAGTTTGTAAATAAGTGAAATTTTATATGACAATCTGATTGATCGATCGATTATGACAATTTATTGATTTTATCGATCAGCTTAAAGGATCGAAATTGTTTGACAGGGTAACATTATCAGTCCTATCTCTTAATTGCTCAGCACTAAATTTGCATAGTTTTTGTCTGATTTATTATGATTAATATTAGTACTGATATAATATGTAGCATTGATATGATATTGATAGTAATACCTGATATGATATGTAGCATAAAATATCGCTTATCAATTTAGTAACTTTTTATATTCTAAACAGGCATTATTTACAGATAGCTGTTTATTGCCATTCGAAGTTGGATTATGTCAAGATAATCAACAGATGTGGTATTTTGATAAATCTGTCGGATACTGTAAGGTATTTATGTATGGTGGTTGTGGAGGCAATGCGAATCGTTTCTTCAGTGAAGATGAATGCATGCATTATTGGTAATTATTAATTACTAATTATATCATGTTCCCTTGATGAATGTTTGATGAAATCAGAAAGATTCGGAAGATAATGATATCGTTTCAAATGGAAATAGTTGCCTATTCGAAAATGTAATTAGTAATTGTAGAGTTGGAATTAATTAAGCTGTCCTGGTGAATGTTTCATCAGATAAATTCAGGAGATGATGACATCCTTATCCGAATGGTTACTTATTTAGGAATATAAGTACTAAAATGTAGCATTATTATTATCCGAGCTGTCTTGACGAATATTTGATGAAATTGGAAATATTAAAGCAAAAATGACATCCTTATCCGATGGTTATTTATTCAGGGATGTAATTGCTAATTATGGCATTAGAATTACTCAAGTTCTTGAATATTTAATGGTCCAGAGATCCAGAATGATTCAGGAGATGTTGATATGCATATCCGGATGTAAGTGGATACTTATTGAAGAACAAATTGATGAAGTATTTATTGTTTAGCTCAATTCACCTCTATAAGCGACAATCAAGTCGTCCAACGCTTATCCTTGTTGGTTATAATCCGGCACCTGTTGGATCGACAGTAACATTAAGATGTAAAACTAATGGACAGTATCCCATACGATGGCATAAAAACGATATACTATTGCAAATTTCTAACGATAATCAAAGGATATATGTAAATATTTTCTGTTGAACTTTTAAATTCCGTTAAATTTTCAAATTTATTATTTCATCTGAAACGATTTGTTCAAATATTTGTTTAAATTATAGTATAGATAGCTTTGTTTTGCCAAAAAAAATAAATGAAAAAAAAAATAAAAAAAAAAAATAAAATAGACCATTATCGGCATATTCTTCATCAAAATAGCGCTAATATATTGAAGAAAA